CCCCCGCGCGCCCCCCCCGCCGAACGATTCGGGGAGAGGGAGTCGGGCGCTCTGCCGAATTCGCTTTCGGTGCGTTATGACAGCAGCCGAGTGGCGGGTTGGCGGGTGCCAGCCTCTCCTCCTGGTTCTGCTGATTTCTTCTGCGCTGGATTGCCCGGAGAGGAACCGGCGGGTGGGGTGGGGGGCGAGCGCTGGGAGATAGGAAGAACCTGCGGAGTCAATGTTGCAACAAGCGCCGGTGATTCCGGAGACCTTGCCCTAAACCTCCCGGGGTTTCTCGTATTGGGAGACAATAAAAATAAGGATCAATATAAGAAGGCAGCTACAACCGCAGTTTTAAGTTACCCGTGTATCCTTGCCTCCTCCGCTTGTTCCACGGTCCTGAAATACTCGTTGTATATTTATCTACGTCAACGCTGGGAGCTTCCTCTTACGCCGTTCTTTCTCCAGGCAATATATATATATATATTATCTTTTGAAGAGTTGAGACCTCAGGCCTGCTCTTACGTTATTGTTTGTTTGTTCCTTTCGTCTATGAGGGGTTCTTGAGTACTTGTAATTTTTTATTGTACGTAATAAACATTTTAAAAGAAATGAGACATGAAAGGACAGCTATGTATATCTCCTAATAAGCAGCAATAAAATTAAAGCAGATTAATTTATCAAATGCAGACTGGGGTAAATTCATGTTTGAATAAACAGACTATATTTTCTTCCTGGGGGTGCACAGCTTCTGCATGTGGAATCAGTGTCCTGTTTACTGAAGCCCTGTGATCTACAAGTGGATTGCGATGCCCATTCCTGTGCTAAAGGCAAGAGCTGTCCTTAGGGAACAAAAGAAAGCCTGTTTGTCAATTGTGGACTGAGACAATCTCATATAAACAGTCTTCTCCTCTTAAGATATCTCTGCTTCTAATCTCATGCTATATTTATTGCCTAATGTGTATGGAAGGGGAACAAAGGAGCTCAGATAAGGATGTAAAGAGACACACAGTGGGACAACACTTGGAAACAAGAAGCATGGCGTCCTGTTGGCTGTGTGTGGTGCAAATTTGTGCAGCCACTCCCACTCCCATGCCACCTGATGAACTAAATGTGAGGTTTTCTCACACCTTGGAAGAGTTACTTTTTTGGATACAGTTCCCAGAATTCCTTAGCTTGTGCAACCTTGTTGGCTGGGGGATTCTGGGAGGAGTTGTCTGAGTGACTCTTCCCAACACCGATTCCCTACTCCCCATGAGTTGCAGAGCTCTTGCTAATGCCCCCCATCCTTTAAAATCAGGCTGTCAGTTACCAAAATTTGATGGTCGCGGGGAGCACAGATAAAAGAACCTCTGGCCCCAGAGATGCCTGGACTTCAGGTTCCATCAGCCCCATGCAGCATGCATGGTGTATAGTACAGGCATATAGGAGCTGAAGTTCAGAATCACAGTGTGGATTTTGAGCTAATAGATCCACCACTGACATGGTATTCTCCCTCAGACAGCTGCAGGAGAAATGCAGGGAACAACAACAGCCACTCCTTGTGGCCTTCATAGACCTTACAAAAGCATTTGATCTGGTTAGCAGGGATGGCCTTTTTAAAATACTTCCCAAGATTGGATGTCCACCTCGTCTCCTCAACATCATCAGATCTTTCCATGAGGGAATGAAAGGCACTGTAGTTTTTGATGGCTCAACATCAGACCCCTTCGACATTCAAAGCGGAGTGAAACAGGGCTGTGTCCTCGCACCAACACTGTTTGGGATCTTTTTTGCTATCATGCTGAAGCATGCCTTTGGAACTGCAACCGAGGGCATCTATCTCCGGACTAGATCAGACGGAAAGCTCTTTAATCTCTCTAGATTGAGAACAAAGACCAAAGTCCAACTGAAATGCATGCGGGACTTCCTCTTCGCAGATGATGCAGCCATCGTTGCCCACTCTGCTGAAGACCTCCAACAACTCATGAATCGTTTCAGCAAGGCCTGCCAAGACTTTGGACTAACAATCAGCCTGAAGAAAACACAAGTCATGGGCCAGGGCGTGGACTCACCTCCCTCTATTACCATCTCCACACAAGAATTGGAGGTTGTTCATGACTTTGTGTACCTCGGCTCAACCATCTCTGACACCCTCTCTCTAGATGTCGAGTTAGATAAACGCATTGGCAAAGCAGCCACCATGTTCTCTAGACTCACAAAGAGAGTATGGCTCAATAAGAAGCTGACGACACATACGAAGATCCAGGTTTATAGAGCCTGTGTTCTAAGCACACTCCTGTACTGCAGTGAGTCATGGACTCTTTGTGCACGGCAGGAGAGGAAGCTGAACACCATCCATATGCGTTGCCTCCGACGGATTTTTGGCATATTATGCCAATCCTGTCTTTGGGGCATCCAGTATGGCTCAAGAGCATCCCTATTGCTCTTTATCTCACTAATCAACACTTTGAGGGCCAAGCTCCAAATAAGAGACATACTAAATAGGATGCTGCTGACTGGCTCTTGACTTTCATGTGACGGTTTATTTTTCTCCAGCCATCTCAGGGCAGTTTGGTGATGGCTGGGATTGGCAGCTGCTACTTGGCTCTTGTTCTTGGACCACAAGATGAAAAAACCATCTTGACTACTAAAACTGTACAATATAAAACGGCAGAAAGTGCTGCAGACAAAATGCAGGCGAACAGATTAGACAAGAAGTTGCTTTATACTAATAAACATATATACTAATAAATATATACTAATAAATATACTAATAAAGCAACTTCTTGTCTCATTTGTTCGCCTGCATTTTGTCTGTAGCACTTTCTACCTTTTTATATTGTATAGTTTCTAGTTCTGTTTTGCTTAATCTTACAAAGCACTGTCTGCATTGATTGCACAAGAGAAATTAGTACTGAACAGTGCTGTTGGCAACCAAATTTGGCTAGAGAGGGACAGATAAGAAAGTTGGCTCCCTGCATCCAGCAACTCCACCTATGTCTTTTGCAGGCATATCCAAGAAGACA